GGGTAGGGACCGTGATTTATATTGTCGCTTAGACACGACGCGAGAGATAAATATTATATTCAAGGCAAACCGTGACACGCGCGTATCGTAATATTTTACGGTGGAGCGACTGTACGAACACTTCTCGCACCTAAGATAATCCTATAATTCTAGAAGATAGAGTCGTGGTTAGGTCACACACATACCATACATGCGCACGCACAAATACGACCTAGGACAGACGAACGGTAAATGTGTGCCGTTTCTAACGCACGCCACGTGTATATGTCATCTTGCAGCACGGATACAATAACGGTGCGCGTGATGCGCGACACGCATAAAGCACGTGCGTAACGTATATGTATTGGAATTCTAATGAAAACCGATAACTCGATATGTCGGACTATTTTACAGCAAAAATATAGCTTCCAAGCGAGACAACAAGCGTGCCTTTATCGCTCTAATGTTAAAAAGTCGCTGACACGCGCGCGCGTTCCGGAACGTTTGATGCGCAGATAGTACATAAGAACGGAGAGATTTATGGCTTCCTAATCCTAAATTCGACGTGCTGGTTGTAAAGTTCGTCAGATATCGTAGCGAGTCACGGACGCGCGATCGCGCACGCATATACGCACGCTTTGCGTGCCGAATAGTACCGATAGCTTACCGGAGGGCCTATATATCGGCGCCTCGTCCTCGTTTCGATCGATATCCGGTGTTTGACAGAGAGAGAGGGAGGTTACCTTGAAGCAGCTTTTGTGGTTCCGCGGTAATACTCTATTTCGAATCGATAATCGCACTGAACGACATCGATTTACGAGAAGATTGACGCTAATGAGCGCGCGTAGGCGAACGCACGTTTTTCCTTCGCGAATAGAGTATTATATACTTCCCAACTTTTGTGTGCCTCCTCTTAGCGCCTCAATTTGAGGCATCGCGTGCTAATACTCGGTAAACAGTATCGCGTACCTGTGTTTTGATTTTGACAATATTGTTGACATGAAACCGCTACGTATACATATACATGTATCTACTCCACTTGTAGAATTTTAATTTGACGTTTTATTTAATCTATACTATACGATTATTGCTCATTTAATTAGCGAGATCAATATTTTTTTTTTGTTTTCAAAATGTAGCTTCGTGTTCACTATCTTGATACAAAATATATTAGTGTAACTGTCTTGGAAAAACATATATATGGTTACATAAAAATGGGAAAAACTATGATATAAAAGTTGATATAATTGCTCATCTAACTCGCGATATTAATATCATTTTTTTTTCAAAATGTAGCTTTAACTTCATTGTCTTGGAAGAACATAGATGTTACATAAAAATTGCAAAAATAAAATTACACATATAAAAGTTGATATAAAAATCGAATAAAAATCAATCGATATCACGTTTATTTTTTCCATCTATCTTGAACTTGGATCGCGATTAAGAGTTTCACGGTTTCCATATCGCGGCGCCGACTTGCATGTATCGAGAGGAGCAGGAGAGGAGGACGGTTAGATCTAACTGTATAACCGAGACCTACTTTCCGGGTTGACTACATACAACGAACACGCACATTGTTAATGCACGCACTTGCGCGCATGCGTCCATGAACCCTCGATATATACATAGTTGCTCAACGCGCTTCTTCTTGGCGTTACGATTTCACGTTCCTTTCCCTGACTCTCGTCCTTGAACCCTTCCCACCCGTCGAGCTTCCTCTGCCCTTTCAAGCGGAATTTTATGACTTCTTATCTTATGGTTTCTCAGCGCGATATTCAAGGATAGAATCAAACATATAAGCGTCAATCCTTGTAAACGAACATACATAAAAATATATATATACATATATATATATGCATCTTTATTTCGATCTGTATGAAGAGGAAGGGAGAGGTTGTACAAAATCATCGAAAAAGAGATTGGTGAATCTCGTGAAACTCCTCATCGATCTCTCTCTTTCTCTCCACGCGAGCTTCAAAGCAGCGGTCGCAGTTTTCGTAAATCAGGACACGCGCAACATGCGCGAGGTGAAAGCGTTAGATGCGAGGATTGGATAACGGATCGTCTCCGAGCGGGGATATAATATGCCGGACCGGTTGCACATACGGTGAAATTAATATCGATGTTAATAAAAACGTGAGGAGATTCTCGGAAGTGCCAGCCCGAGGAGCGGAGGGCGAGGGTTATCACGAATCGATGAACTTTAACTTTTGTTCGATTTCACCAGACTTTCATCGTTTTCGGCCATCTGTCGATAAAAATAGTCCGACGAGAAAAGAAAATAACCGATCCCTGAACATTAATTACCAATCTTTTTTTTCAATATTCGGTCGCATAATTGAAACGTATTTGGAATTCTTTGGCAAACGTTTGAATTTTTAGAAATTAAAAAATGTAGCAACGAAAAAGTTATATGCATTACTTGATTGGGGGGCCCCCTCTCTTCAAGTTTGTATGTATATTTGTCACACAAACTGCAAAAGATAATCCAGTATCGCTTCTATGCGGTATACACTTATCCGGTTTATATGTCGAATAGATATCGGACCAGTGCCATGATAAATTACAGTGTTTATTCGACACAGTGTTTAACTCGCCCGATGTTTTGCCGATTATGTACTGCACGTGCATATTAAAACTGTTTATTCTTATCAATTGAGACGAATGAAATTTCATGACGGTTTATAAATAAATAGCGATATTATAATAGACCCAAAGCATTTCTCAACGTAATCTTGTTGTCCTTTTAACATATACATATATAATTTCCGCTATAATAATAAAAGGTTTATAAAGAATTGTACAAATCATTCAAAAATATTTTAAAATATAATTAAAAATGTCACACATTTCAAAGTTAATATTATTTTAATTCTTCTGACGAATAGTATAGTCATCGTAATTGCATTGAAAGATTCGAGGATAATCGGAGCTTCGACGAGCTGGCGACGCTACTCCATCAATCTAAATAATAATCACGAAGACCGTTATAGAAAAAAAGACTCATGCGGCAAGCGGCGAGACAAGCAGTCAATTAACTTGATTCGTTCTCGTATTCATATTGTTGATCGAACTTGCCTTTATATACGCTGCACTTTCAATGAAACATTTATGCGTAGAATTTTTAATAAATAAATAACTGTAAATATACATGCGTTATTATCTTACATTAGTTGGTTATGTCGAAAATCGGAGTAGGAGCTTTGCCGAAAGTTGCACATTCTTGTTTACTCGGCGAGAATGATAAAGAAGTAAATATCTAGTTTCACAGGCTGGTAGCCTTGTTATCACACACTTCCACTGATAAATCCTTGCGCATTTTATTGACGTCGCGAAACTCCGGATATTTGTCAATAGATACATCAAACTCAATATATATCGCGCAATGCACTTATCGCGCATATAGATTAATAATTCATGTTTACTCTTTCAAACTTATCATGGAAAACTTTTGCGCCGCGACTCCCTTTATCACCCTTTATTTGTACCAAATTTTCCCACGACAACATTTTCGCACACTTATTTTTCGCCCGGCGAATTTCTCGCATGAGAAATTCCAGAACGAGCGCGTTGCACCGCTGCTCGATGCGAACTGCGGTTTCGCGCTGCCGACTACCCGCAAGAGTCGGCCGCTGCATTCGCCGCGTCGGTGGGGAAGGCATCGCACACGGAAATTCGCATGTATGCATGTGCACGTGTTAATGTATGTGTATGCACGTTGCATTCGGACACCACGCCGCGCCGAGATTCGCGCGGTGCATACCGGGTGACTCTCGATTGGTCGGCCACCGAGGGTAGGGGGCCGTTCCAACCATCTACCCTGTGCACTTCTCTTCCTATGCAGCCGCCAACTCGTACCACTCGCCGCCAAAGTGGAGGAGTGCGAATGCAACGCGGCCGGCCCGGTCCTTTCCGGCGTAAGGAGTCACGGCTCGCGTATGGTCGGACGCGATTTGTAAAGCGCGAAAAACGAGACTTGTAATCTTTGTTTTTCGATTCTTTTTTTTTTGTCAAATTGTATAAACGAATATTTTATTTTTGCACGATCGAATAATGTGGATTTATTTCCAGTAACGTTCACACATATCATGTCATATTTAATTTCTATTGATAAGCTTTTTTATTAAGTGTTTATTATATAAAATATTTTAAATATAAAATTGTGCCAATTAAAATTCCGTTAGCGAGAGAGAGAGAGAGAGAGAGAGAGAGAGGGAGACTATTTAATAATCATTAACACTGCGGCCCGTTAGAAAACAAGTCAAGATTGTTGTCCGACTCTCAAGCATAAGAGAAGAGTCAATTTGCAATATGACGCAAGAACTTGTCGTCACATTTGATCGCAGTTTGTGTAACGCTGGGCATTTACATTGAAAAATAATCGGGCATCGAGTTGATTTACGTCGCCACGTCAAATTGATGGCCGTCGATTACGATGCCCGGTGCCGTATTAATTGCAACGCGTCAACACGACCCGATCTCAAACGTATCTGAAAGCGACGTTCGAGCGAATAACGGTGAAAAGTCTTTTAGATGATCGCCGGTATTTGAAATCATGTCGAAAAAGTGAAAGTTCCACGTCCTCTCCTGGGCCGGTCGTTTAAAGATTTCGATTTGACGTATTGATAATTTTGATAATTGCAACGCGACATCTCCGAAATATTACGGGTGCACGCAGTGTAAATAAAGACACGTTTATTTTTCTTTTTGCGCGTTCAAGCATCGACCTTCTGCCTGCATAAGTGAGAGAACCAAGGAGTCAAGGACTTGGAATAGTCAGCCGAATTCTTTGAATTCCTTGAGCTCAGTTTTTATTTCGATTATCGCGTCACGCTTATGTCTAATTATATATTCTTTGAGATATTCGACGAATTATTGTCGATCTCACAAAGTGCATTTTCCAAGTCATATTTTAAAGTATTATTCCGATGAGGAATCCATTCGTAATGTCGCAAGGAGACACGGGTGGATCCTATTATAAAGAGAAGGATATATGTTATCGTACTTAAGGAACTTACCCTCGCAGAAGAGAGTGACATCTGTGAGACTCTCGGTTTTGAATAAGTTCAAGAACGTCGTTGATAGATTGGAGCCAAAACCCTTCCACTTGAGGCAGAATTGCTGCTCACGAGAGTCCATGATGCCACCCTTAGATTCAACTCCGTGACCTTCAACGCCCCTCTCGCAGCCACCTTCCACCTTTGGATATTTACCTTCTTGATCGCGCTCGTGTCCAATTGCTCGTCCAGCTACGCAAAAAGCAGGCAGGTTCGATTATCGACCGATCTCTCTTTCTCTCTCATCATAGAGAGCATAGAGAGAATATGTATGATCTATAAAAGGCATTAAATTAAGGGACATATTGCAAAAGCGATATTGTAATCGTTCAAAAATATCGTCAAAAATATCGATAAAGTTAGTTTCGAAAATTGATAAACGCGGAGAAAGTGTCTCGCGTCTCTGAAAAGTTCATATCTCTGCGAAAGGGCCGCTTTCCCGATAGTTGGAGTATTATTATTCGACGTTGTATGGACGCTGTCAAGTTAGTAGTACTATACCCGGAGATTGGTCCCCGTGAATGAACGACGAAATATATCAGATCGCACTGTTGTCACTCCAGCCTGAATGTTGAATGTTGATAACCTCGAGATACGGAGATACCTCGTATAAACCCGGCATACCTCTTTCGATTCACTGGCTCCGTGAGTGCGTAATACGCGTTTTTATCGTGACAGAGACCTAAGAATTCGGACACGCTCTCGCGGGTGTCCGCTCGAAGAAATCGAATGCGAATAATAATAATTCCAGTTCGAAGAGTACGCGAGTTCTCGATGTACTCGTGACACAGTCAGGAACCGCGAGCACTCGATGGCGTCATGTCAAAATTCCGCCGCATTTCCGCGACGCCTCGCGATAAGCGCCGGAGAAGAGGAGAGAGATCTCGCCGGTGTCAGGGGCGTGTCGACATTAAAAGCGATACCGCTCGACAGGATACGATCTTTAACAACAGCCGGTGTTGACAGCTGCGCTACTCCGAAATACGCACTTTGCGCCTCTGCGAACCCTTCGGGCAAATTTTTGAGTGCGAGGAAAGAGTTTACAGAGTTCGGCACCACGTGTCCTCTGCGCGGTGCATGATCCGTGTGCAATATGCGGAAGAAATATTGGATCGGTTTCCGCGATCGGAATCGCGCACGAGAAATTAGAATCTACGGGTCTGCTCCGTTCCAGCTCTACGCACCGGTCGCACGAGTACTAGACAGACTGAGGACTATACGCACTCGAATTCGAGTATCACTACCGGCTTGCATCGCGCATCGGCACATGAACGAATCGCGCGTGACTGTCGTCGTTTGCGGTGCCGCGGGCCCGGGTCCGCCGCGGGAGCCGAAAATCGCGCGGGCGCGAGCGAGAGGGAACGACGAGGTAGCGTGGCACCGCGAGACGACAGCGGAGGAAGGAAGCGGACCGCTCGAGAGGGAGACCGGGTGGGCCGAGGGGGGAGGGGGGGGAGGGCGAGGATTGAGGGACCCGCCGTCATCGTCGCTGGTGTGTATATCGCCGAGAAAGAGCGTGAATATGGGTCATCGGTGGCGATGCAAATGCGGTTACGCGGACAGAGCGCGCGCACACGCGCTTATGTAACGGTGTGTGTGTGTGTGTGTGTGAATGGGGGGGCAGGAGAATTTCGGCGTTCCCGGTGGTGGCGGAATCACCGGGAGAAGGGGACGATTCGGCGGCGGCTTCTTCTTCTTCCTCGGAGAGGTAGGGATCTTGTGGCAGTCCTCCGCATCGCTTCTCCCCTCTTATGCTTTTTTTTCGCCTCTACGCGATGAACTCTTTCGCTCTCGCGAGTTCCCTCTTGTTCTATCTCATTTTCGAGTATTAGTATCCCCCCCACTAGGTTCCCCCTCGTTCATCTAACGCTTCTTTGGCACGCACGTTCCACTTGGCGATCGCGTCCATCTTTGTTTAACTTTCCACGATGAACAAACAAGGACGAAATGATCCCACAAGAGCTGCGATCGCCAAGTGGAACGTAGCCTGATGAGTTGTGTCATCCAACATGTGACCAGAGTCGCATGTCCGATGCGTTTTGGGAATCGCGTGGTAGGAAAAGAAAATCCTTGAGCGTGCAGCGCAGCGGCCTTGATGAACCTGTGAACGTGCGCAGGCTGTAATTGTAAATACCTCCCGATTTCGATCAAAGTTTCGGCGCGGATCCAACTCTTCCGCTGTCAAATTATTATTTATGCTCCGAATGGGCAAGAAACAGATACCCATACATACATATAATAATAATATACACCTCGCGTGTTCCAAAAATCAGCGGTAACGACGCGATCGATGCCCATCGCTAGGAACCGCTGCGGCACGAAAAGCAAAGACGGAGGGGAATTTAGGCGTTGGAGGCGCTTCGAGTTGCGTGGCCCGGAACCGCGAGCGAAAGGAGAGAGCGGTGATACAGAAGGGGGTGCGGGAGGAAGAGCGGGGGAGGGAACGGAGAAGGGAGAATCACCGGGGGGAGAAGTGGGAGGGTTCGCGGGCATTGCGTGGTGGCAAAACGCACGCTGATCAGGGAAGGGAGGGTCCGAGAGGGAGGCTCAAGGTCGCCGCACGCGCGCCACAACCACACGCACACGCTGTCATATATACGTATACATACGCGATACGCTGCACAACACGGGCGTGTACGCGCTCACACGCTGCAAGCGCGCGCGCGCGCGTCCACCAGCGTCGTAATTCGGCGCTCTTATGGCGGCGGTATTATGTCATCGCGTTCGCGCGTTCGGAAAAACAGAGCCTCCTCTCAATCGAATTTCTCCAAAATATATAGATGCGTACGGGAAGGGATGCGTGATCTTTTATATCGGCGACTCGTATATACTTCTTTTTATGTTTTCACTCTAGATTTCCGAGAATCGTTTCATTACCAGGAGCATCCGTCGTCTAACGCCACGTTTCTCGCTCACGTGCGTAGCATCTGCATATACCGGTATGTGTGTGTGTGTGTGTAAAAGTTTTCGCGGAGAAATATAAAAAAAAATCGTAACGTAACGCGCGTACGAAAATAGACCCGATGATCCTATACACGCGAAATGAGGAACCAGAGAGCTTCCGTGATCGCGCAGAACTCGATATTCCAATATGACAATGGCTTACGCTGTTGTCTCGAGCGATAAAAATTGATCCCCAATCCTCGCGATTCCGCGGAAGGGAAAATTGGGCGACTCGATGAAATGAAAAAGGGGGAAGAAGAGAGAGAGAAGACGGATATGGTCTGAGAAACCACCACGGGGTGGTATCGAAGTGGCTGAATATGGGCGACGGTATTGCCTAGCGAGGGCGAGTATATAGAAAAGGATGGTCGTCGAGATGCCGAGTTAATGCAAACGAGAGGGGTAAAAGGAGAAGGGAAAAGAAAGAAAGAGAAGCCACCTAGTATATGAAAAGCGCGTATCGTCGTGGCTCGACGAGAAAAACAGGAACGGCGCCTGCCATTTTTCGTCGAGGCGCCTTTTGGCAATAAGCGCGGTGGTCGTCGTCTTTGTTGATACCACGAGAGGGAATGCCGCATGGAATCTTTTTTTTCTTTCTTTCTTGCAGGAAGGAAACCGTATTAATGCGTTACAACGAATAACGGGCTTAGGATTCGGTTTGAACAGGCCGCTCTTGATACGCTCTCGATGCTTCTTAAAGAGCGCGTTAATGCTTTTATAGAAAGTACCGCCGTTATTGCGAACAAATTATAATGAAATGTGCAGGGACAAGTGCCAGAGCGATAATGTAATTGTAAATATTAAATGAAAATTTTAATTGCTGCCGTACGATTGCGTTTTTGGAACGTTAAATTGCAACGATATGATACTGCACGTGTGTTTTCATTAAGCTAGCTTATCTGCCTAATCAAGCGAAATTGATGATAAACATGGCTCACATCGAGAAATGTAAATAAGACATTATCTCGCGCGCCAGTCTAAAACTGGCTCGAAAGCGACAGAAGCAAAATTGTGAAAAATACGATCTCCGCGAAGAGGGAGTTGCTTCGAGAGAACTTCGATTCGTCTCTCCTAAGATCGACACAATATATCCTGCCTCCGAGTAAAGAGACGGGCCAGGAAAAAGGGAGAGATATCTGCATGAATCCATACGAGGGGGTACAGCCAAAGATTGGTTGTACCGATGAAAATGCCAAGGTGAGAGGTGCAAACGTGTTTGACAGCGATAACAGAACGTTCACGGTTCGGGAAAAAGGAGAGATGGAAGATGTGTGCATTTTTTTTTGTTTCAAATGATAGCGAACTATCGAGACAAACCCGCTTCGAGATTTCATTTCGTTACGGGGAGTTTCTAAATAAAAGAAGTATATTGAAAGAACTGTTTTCTGCAGGTCGCGCGAGCAATTGCTGCGTTCATTATTTTCGAAAAAAAATAAGTCGCATGCTTTTTCCATTTATTATTATTTCGATTTCTGAATATTTAAATTTTTAATATTATTGAAGAAATTAGTGGAATGCATTTGTACAAAATCGAGATCTCGAAATATATACATATATGTATAACTGTCTCTCTTTCTGTGTGTAGAGAATAGATAATAATGTCACATCACTAATCCGATACGTAACAGTAGCTAATTTAAAGGTCAATGTCTCCGAGGCTATAGTTTCAGATAACAGGTCGCCGTGCAATAGAACGTGTTTTAAAACGAAGAACCCGGCTTCGCGGAAGGGGAAAAACTTTTCGACGCGCTTTCACGATGAAAGTAAAGCGACGTGATGTTTTTCTCGCGAATCGTCGCCATCGTGAATCCATTTCAATCAGGCGCGATGATGTAAGCGCATTTTTGTCGGTGACAAATAATCAAGGATCGGGCGTCGAGCGATGTCGACGGGCGGTCTCGAGGGACGATCTGTGTGCAGTTTTGCAATTTTTTTTTATCTCCCGAAACGTCGTCTTTCCAAACATCAGCAAATTTTACGTTCGCGGTAATAAAAGTTTTTACGTTACATTCAAATATTTCGGATATTTAGAAATTATACCGACGAATAACAAGCAAAATATAAAAATGTTGCGAAGGAAAAAGGATAATCCTCACCGTAATTAAATTCTCACAAATCCTCGATGCAACATGTGTCCAGGGATGGTTTCTTCGCGACAATCGTGGTATCGTTCTTCGAGGAGGGAAATCGCACATCGAGAAACGAAGCGTGACTCACTTGCGATTCGACAGGGGAGAAGAGACCAGGAGGAGAGTGCAACAACCGCGGTTACTTTGGTCACGACAAATCAACGCGGAGTCCACGCCGCGGATGTGCAATCAATGTCAATCATCTCGGTTGGACAATATTGTCCTTCGTCACTTGGAGCGATGGAGACACCGTGAATGAGCCGCCGAAAAACGCCCAGCGCGAAGCACGATCTGAATTGGACTGTTCTACGAGTTATGCCGGGCTCGTTTGACGTCTCTCTTTCTCTCACTCTTTCTTTCGCAGGTTCCTTCTCCCCTTCTTCGCCGCGCCAGCGGCCCTACGTTTTGGGCCGGCACTCAAATAGTGTGCGCCCCTACTAGCCGGTCGTCTCACGAGCGAGCGACCGCGATGTCCGCCTCCGTAGCACATCGATCCGAAGGTGGAAACGGCCGTTCTCTTCTCCCGGGATATCTTGGCTCATTCGCTAATTAAATGCGCGCATCCGATTGCTCGTTTGTTACGCTTGAAAAATGTATCCAAGTTAAAGAAAAATGACAGTAAACTCGGAGACATTTGCATTCCGAGATCTTACGCCAAAGAGACGTTGATCATCGAATGTAAATATCGAGATAGCTTCTTTGTTCGATAAGATTTCGAGCAAACGATCTCGAAAATTGCCGCGGAAGTCGCATTTGGCTTTTTCGTGCTCGGAGCGACGAAGGAGCAGTTTTTCTGGCCTCTAAAGCGTATACGCGCAACGCAATAAATTTCCCAAATGGCGGGTCGTTAGCGGGAGGTTC